GGTCAGTCACTGCTCTCCTTATGCATTGCTTATGGCAGGCCCCAATAATAACAAGGTGATGCTGTCTGATTCATTTAGTTTAAAAGATGCACAACCTCTCTCAGAGATATTGAAGCTGTAGGTCGCCGTCTCTTCTCCCAGCTGGTCCTTCACCTCCAGACGGATGTTGTATTCCTGCTGCTGTGGCACAGCTGAGAAAGTACAGGATGGCGGCTGACAGCGGACAGGAGTCTGGTCTGTGTTCCTGGTTATTGACATCACAAAAATAAAGAGTAAATACTTTAAGCATGAACAGTTTGCATAATCACGTTGGCATCACTGCTGCAGAATATCTAAATGTATAAAGCCTTAGTTTTACATTTCTGAAAGTGTGAATACCAATAAAATGTAAAATGTGTGTCTTGTAGTTGAACTGTGTAATGTGGAGCACGAGTCAAGCCTCAAGCCTTAAATCATCCCTGATAGTTTACAGATTTTCAGAAAAAAAAAAAACGTCAGACTAACTTCTTATTTAAATGTCTCACAAGCCAAACTTTTGTCAAACATACATTTTTTCAGTCTTTATTGGTAAAAACAGCACATTCAAGGGCATCATAAAAAAAACAACCACATTGATTGTGCTGATTATGCTTACTCAATGTAGAGTGTGTGTGTCTGGTTATTGAAGTCAAACTCGTCTCGTTTCCTCCCGGGGTCCCACATGCAGGTGATGCTCGTCATGTCTGAGGTTGTGCAGTTCAGGTTTCTGGGCTTTTGAGGAGGAACTGCAGGAAACAAACACAGCGTTAGAATTTATCATCAGCATTTTTTTTTTTTCCAAATATAGATCTTTATCATGCATGGTGGGGACATGGTTAGCATTGTTGCCTTAGAGAAAGAAGTTAAGTTTAAATACATTCAGAAAGATCTAAGTGGATATTGATGATGAATAGACAGATTAATGTTATAAACTTACAGCTGATGTGGTTCTCGACTGAGTTGCTATTTCCTGTTGAATCAACACATTTGAAAAACAGTCTTTTGATGTGGGTGTTTGGGATTGTCAGATTGGTCATTAAAATAGCCTGAACCCCATCTCCAATGCTCAGAAGTGGGTAGGAGTCCTGCCTCAAGGTGATACGCGTGACGTTTACACCCACTGGGGGAACACAGCACAGCATGGCAGAGCTTCCCTCTTTCAGTATCCGTTTGGAAGGGAATATCAGGGATTTATCTGCTGCTCTGGCTCCTAAGACACAGACAAGCAGTTTAATGGAGCTCTACACGTACATTTGCATTGAAACATGACAGGAATAAGTGAAGAGAATGAAGAAAAGATAAACAACTTCCATTTGTTGTAGTGGTTGTAAAAGAACTGAACAACTTAAAAGATTTAAAGAAAGAAACATGGTGGTTTTTCTTGAATTTTGTTTAAATGATTGTCTTTTTGGCTGACTCCCAATCGACTCACCATGGTTGGTTACCCAGTTGCTCCAAGGACCAGCGGCGGTTCGATTACAAAAACTTCGTATCCTGACCGAGTGATCGACACACTCAAGCGGCAAATCAGAGATCCACGTCAAAGTGGACCAACCCGAGTCCCTGGTAGGTATGCTCACATTTCTCTGGGTTTTAAAAAAAAAAAAAAAAAAAAAACATTAACAGTTTGGAGTTTATCAAAAGAAAGATCTACATAGATATTAAAATTTTATCAGTATGGCTTTAATTTTAAAAGAAATAACGCAAAGTGCACCTCATGGTTTAAAAATACTCTTGTTCTATTATATATTCTGTTTGGATTTTACGTTATAGATGACAAAAAGGAGCTTATTATGCAAATTCAGTGGGATTTGTGAGCATCAAATTTAAAGTTTTGACACATTTTTCGAGTTGGATTTATGTCTGGACTTTGACTGAGCCAAATATGTCTTGATCTAAAACTACTGCAGTGGTGTTTAGTGATACTGTAATGCTGAAAGGTGAACTTGTTCCATGACTGCCTGTTAAATAGCTCCATCCATTAAGTGTGAGGACACCGACTCCTGTGTTCCTTCATCTTACATTTCACACAGGTGAACTCTACTTACATGTTCAGATCATCTGAACTCAGCCAGGAACATCTAAATAAAGGCAGGATTTCAGTGCTACTTCGCCCAGTTACCTCCGTTTCTCTGACTTTCACGTATTTTGCACATTGTTGGTCCATATTCTGTCTCACTGCTTTAAATAAAGTTACCATCAAGATTCTTCACCTCTTAGCAAATGAACAAACTGTTACTTTCAGGCGGGAATCAAGTGATTACGTTACAACAGAGGGGCAGTTTCTGCCCAAAGAAATGACAAACAGGAAAGCCTCAATCACAAAACAAAAATGTTTGTTCAAGTTCAATTTGCTGCTGTATCAACCACAATTCTTTCAAAGAAGAGTTTTGCAGACACGGGTTTCATCACAATTACATTTGTAGTTTCTTTATATACTAACAGAAAGTTAGTAAAGTATTACATGAAACCATGTAACCAAATTTGAGGCAATACTCCTGTTCCATACTCACATTATAAATAATGGTGCGACTTTTTGTGCGGCCGATTTGGATCTCATAAACGTCGCTCTCCGATGCTCCCCTGTTCCTTGGCCAGCTCACTACAAGGCTTTGATTGGCACTAAAATTACGAATGTTTGGTTTTGGTGGCAGAGAACCTGATCCAACATATATATAAAAACAAACAAACAAACAAACAAACAAACAAACAAACAAACAAAAAAAAAAAAAAAAAAACAACTCTTGAAAATGCTGCAGGAAAAAAAATACATTTATAAATGGAAATCCAGAAAACTCAACTTACCAAAGTCAGCACAGCCCTCAGTGTGAGGATGAGAAAATATAAGATACAAGCCAAGCAGGTGAGCGCAGAACAGTTCAATGTTCCCCGTCATCATGACTAAATCAACAAAGTGGGACTCTGGCCGCTGACTGCAAACACTAATGGGAAGCCTCTTGAGTCAAAGTCAAATGGTAGTTTGCGTGCAGTGAGTAGTGGAGTGTTGCGAAATGTTTCACAGGAACTCATGAGAGGTGTGTAACTATTAAGCGGATGCTTGAAATAAGGTGGAAGACACTGAAATAGATGTTTACCAAGATAGTTTTATATACACAGTGTTACGTCACATACAGTTCCAGTCAGAAGCTTTCATACAGACATCGTTGGCATGAATGTCATATTGATCTTAGTGACATACTCATTTATTTAAATGGCTTTTTTGAAATATGAAATGGCTGTATAAGAAAACACTTAATTGTCTTTAAAACAGTAACCGATGGAAAGGTTTCTATTGGTTGTGGATTTCCTCCAAGTTTGAACCGTTTTCTTGATAGAATTGGTCAAATGGTTGGTTTCTTGCACAAACCTGGCCTTTTAAAATATTCCAAACATTTTTAACAGGATTAAGGTCATGACTTTGGGTAGGCCACAAAGCCAATAGCTTTGTTTTATCCTGCTTTAAACTACCACACCCGTTTTCATATGTTTGGAGTAATTGGTTTATCAGAATACTCACCAACGCCCAAGTATCAAATATATGACCGAAAATGTCACAACTAAAAGAACAAAATAGCAGAAACATCAAGAATCACTGTCAACAGTGAAGAAGGTCTTAACATAAAACCTGTAGCCTTTTTAGAGAAACACTGCTGCCCACATGGACAAACCAAATGCCTTCTGAAGATCATCTCTATGGCCAGAGCAGACAAAAGCTACGCTGGTTTTACACAATGACAGGACATTTCTTAGAAGGAGTGGAGGGGAGGTTTTTGAACAAGTAAACACTGTGACAACTAACTACTGGGCCTGGTGGTGATAGGATCATTGAACTGAGCTCTTCTGCTGCTGCTAATTGTGCTGGTTACGACTTCAACTTCACCTCAATTTATCAATGTGTTAGAAACCTGGACACAGCAGGCTGTTTCAGCAGGACAGTTATCCTGTTTATATGCACCATAATTAGTTTAGGAATTAACCATATTAACTAAGCTTCCCAACTTATAGACCATACTTAAGAGTTCACCAGTTAACCTGAACTAATTCCATTCAGAAGTGTGATTAAATATCCAGCCAGAAATAATTATTTAGGTTCTCTTGGTGCTTTTTGTTTGTACCTTTTCTAATTCTGTCAGAAAAACAATGGGAGGACCCCCTATGCACATCAAATGCATTTAAAGTTGGGCAAAAAAAAAAAAAAGAACAGTTGTGTATCTCAGTAAACCAAACATAGTTTTGATAACATCTATGTGTAAACATTTCCCTTTGAGGCAAACTGAGAGAAATACATGAACTTGTATTTGTCAAAATAGTGACAAATCTCACTGAATTTTCCATTTACAACTAGAACTTGATCAAATTGAACATACCGACTATTACTTTTACACTAGAACCTCCTCATTCACCCAATCACACTCACTCACACACACACACACATTCCCACGTTGTAGGTGTGCTTGACGTTAAGTGCCACAGCTGCAGCTGAAGTGAAATGTCATTTGCAAATATGAACTCTGAGGCAAATCAAACACATTTGACCCCTTGTGTGTAAAAACTCAAAATTGTTCAGCTAGTGATTGTTTTTTAAAAATCACTGAAGCTGTATTATGTACAACAGTCCCACGCTGCAAAATGAACGGTTAATATTAAAGTGGCATTCATGCCGCCGATGAGGGTATGTAAACTTCTAACCCCAGGGAATACACAATGAGACATTTAAAAAAACAACACATTATTAATATCGGGAGTGCGTGAAGCTATCTATGTCAAATAAATTATAAGAAAACAATTATCTTTACATCAGTTACAGCATCAGCAATATTTTTGGCACTTCGGAGAGATTAAAAAATTAGGAATATACGATCCTTTTTCAACACAGTGTGCATAGGTAGCCTATTCATAATAATAAACATTAAATATATATGTATATATGTACATAAAAAATGTCAGCATATTTGTATCCTTTGCTTACAACAAGTTATGTTGTAAATGTACAACTTAAACAAAGATGGCACTGCAGAACTGACAAAAAGAATATTACAGTCTGAGGCAGAGCTTCATTGACTTTATAACAATAGTCACTTTAAGTGCTTTTGGAGAAATGTATCAAGTCTTCTGTTTAAACTGTCTGAGTTAAATGTACCTCTGTCTTCAAATTAGTGCAACAAATAATAACCTAGAATGTAAGGGGGGGAAAAACTAACTGAATTTTATTTATTTATTTATTTTTAAAATTAAAAAGGCACAATGGTTTGATCATCGAGGAGGCACACCAAATTACGTAAAGGCACATAACAGTCAGAATGCCTAAATATTCTGAGTTTTAAATGGACATGAGTCCATTTTAAATAGATACGTCACAATGAAGACGCAGATAAATTATCCTTTTCTTCCAGTTACTGAACTGGCAGCTTGCTCTGCTTCGTCCTGCATTCTCAGAGGTAAACAATGTTTTCCTCGACTCCCTCCTCTCCGTTCTGTCCTTCGAGGGAGAGATAAGCCTGGGGTGGGAGCAGCGGGGTGACAGAGGGAGAGGAGGAGTCGTGCTCCTTAATGGGTCCGTGACCTGTGATCCCTGACCTCCAGGGACCTGAAGTTTGCCTTTCCTCCAGCTGGGTGAAATCTGCTGCAAGGAGGAGAAACGGGTCAACGATTCTGGGATCTGAATGAAGAGGAGATGAATCAAGCTCATGTTTTAAAAGCAGAAATATGTCCTACTGTTGCTGCATCTCTGCTGCTGTGAAGGCACTCTGCTGCTGAAGGGATGGAGGCAATCGGCGGCCGGTCGGGAGCAGCTGTGGTTGTTGCCGTACAGAGGCTGCTTGCCGTGGGTTTGGCTCAGCAGCGTGTTGAGGCTGTTGTAGAGGCTGGCGCTGACGCTGCGGTCGGCTGAGCTGAGCGGCGGCCCGTCCGGATTATTCTTCTTCTGCGTGGAGAATGTGTGCTGGTGGTTGTATATGGGGGGCTGGTGGAGGTGGTTCTGTTGCAGGGAGCTGAACAAACCCGACTCGGTCTTGAACAGTGAGTAGTTCCCATCAAGGCTGCCTGTGCGGCTGTGTGTGGCAACCTGGAGAGGTAACACAAAAAAAGAGTGGAGGTCAAGCAAACCACCCTGTTTTACTTTTATACATTTTTTTTATTCCATAAACTTTCATTTCTCTGCTCATTTCTACAGCAGACGACAGCAGCTGTCCCCGCTTAAAATTTTACTTTAGCTTTTTTGAGATGCAAAAAATATTATATGAAATAGAAAGGTTTTTTTTTTCTTGTTATACAAACTATTTGATTCAGGAGAAATGCTTTGATCATTTCAACATTTCACAAAGTTATTTTCAAAAGTTATAATCTAGACTTGGATAATTAATTTGGTTCTAATTATAATAAGTGATTGTGACTTCATTTAATACATGTAATAAAATGATTTATTAAAAGTCCATTAAAAATGCCAACTTTGTATGATTTTGTAAATTATGATAATTTAATGCAAAGTCGGCATTTGTAATGGACTTTCAATGCAACTTTTAGAGCAACTTTGCATTAAAAGTGTCATTATTTACCGAATGACACTTCATGACCACTGTCATAAACCTTCATAAAGACTTCTTTATGTTCATGACAGGTGTTATGTCATGTTTATGACAGTGTCATGTCAGTCTTATGCACACCCCTTCAATAAAGTGTTACCAAAATAAATAAAAACATTTCCTGTTGCCAACGATCTCATTTTCACTCAAGAAAACGACATGTTTACAGCGCAGCCAGTTTTTTTGCTTTAACATTTTCTGCGGTGATGCATTTCCTCCTCCTCTCTCTGATCTGCTTGCCTTGTATCCATCTAGTGGTATTGTGACGGGCAGGCTGCTCTGACGGCTGTGTCTCCAGCTCTGCAGCAGCCTCTGCTGGGCTTCGATCCTCTCCTTCTCCCTCTCCACGCTCCTCTGGCCCTCCCTCAGCCTGTCCAGGTTTTGCTGATACTCCTGCAGCTGGGCGTCGAGCTCCTCCCGCTCGCAGCGGAGCCGCTCCGACTCAGACAGACACTGCTGCTCCCGCTGCTCCAACACGCTCTCCTGCTCAGTCTGTAAGCAAACAGGCAGATATATGTTTATCTATGCTTTAGTACTTTATATCTTTTTAACTTCAGTAGATTTTATCATGTTGCAACCATAAAAATGCATGTATGTACAATGAGACCAACACAAATTGCTCTGTGTCTTTTGGATGGAGAGTGATACAAGGTTTTCAAAACGTCTTCTTTTTATTTTTATGGAACTGAAAACTTATGCTCTGCACAATATTAAGACTTACGTTTGCAATATTTTGTTTTGTATTTTACTTTCACTTCCCCCAAGAACAAGAGAACAAAAAAAAAAGTTACTCCAGGAACGATGAGAGTATTTTGGTTCTATTTAAACTGCTGTGAATGAAGAAATAAGACAGAAATGAGTCTTACCTGCTGTTTCTCTCTGGCCACACATTCTTTTTCCCAGCGCTGCTGCTCTTGTTTCAGCTTAGCTTGGAGCTTCTGCACCTCATCCACATCTTCTTTCTTCCTCTCCAAACTCTTCTTTTCCTCTTTCATCTTGTCAGTGCTCCTCTGCTTCTCCTGTTCCTGGAGGGAGAAAAAGCAAATCAGCACCTCAATGCGATTTTGAACCTCACATGCCACAAGCTCATTGACTGGCTGGCAGATAAATGACAGATAAATATTTTTATGAACAAACCAAGTTGGTTTGGAGGGAGGTGATGCTGCGGAGCTGAGGTCTTTCTCCCTCTTGAAGAAGGAGTTTCTGGACTTCATAGAAGCTGTCCTGGAGGGTCACAGCGGCCTGAAAACATGAAATTCAGATCATAACCACCATGTTCTGAATGTCATCAGAGTTTTTCCTCATCAGAATACAAACTAGTGAAAAAATATAAGGAAAAATATATATTGCCACTGTTTCCTGACCTAACTACTATAATGAACATAAAAATAATATATTTCTAAGAGTTA